TACATACTAACAATATATATTATAAAGCAATATACAATACGAACTCAAATAATAAATATTTATACATCTATTCATAGCTATCAGTTTCAGTACAATCTCAATGTAACTATATACTTAGGTAAACTTAGTTTTAATAATAGGTAGACAAACCCATAACACTAGTAATATAAAAAAAACGTTCTCCATAGAAAGAATTAGATTTTTATACTTAGTTTTGAAAATAGAAAAAGAGGAAGGTAGATCAAAATTTTGAAAAATAACTTTATTCCAAAGATTAGGTGCACGATAATCAAAACAAAGCTAATTAAACTTGGTTCGACATAAGACTTAATTTAGCAAATTATTATTTCTCAGTGCATATTGAATTAAGCAGTGCGTTTAAATTAAGCATTGAGTTTGCAGAAATCAATTAACAAATTAACAGTTGCCATATAAAATATTTGCTGTACACACTCAAAAAAAGGGTAAAAACTACTACCTTAGGGTAGGATATGTGATATATCCTTTGTAAAGTATTACTTTCTACCTTTTTAGGTAGGAAATTTCATTAAAAACAATGATTTCTCATACAGTTTTTTACCTTATAGGTATAATTTTCTACTTTAAAATGTATAAAATTATAACTTACTTAGGGTATATCGCACATTCTACCCTAAGGTAGAATGTGCGATATTATTATTATTATTATTATTATTATTATTATTATTATTATTATATTTTCTTTGCCGTATAATTAAATTTACAATGAAAAAAAAACCATTCATGTATAAAAATTGGCCGGAGCAAGAAGAAGACATAAACTGTCTTATCGCCAAGCCCCGTTTACATTAACGTCACTAAGTTACAAGTTAAAAACTAAAAGGTTAAAAATTGAAGTACAATACAATATTAGTTCGACAAATATAAGACACAAGTAATAAATCGAATAAATGTTATTTGTCTGTTCAAAATTAATAGTATATATATTTTTTATTTTAATAAGAAATAAACAAGATACACAAGACAATAGTAAATGAGTAGTGATGACTTTTTCAGGTTTAATTATTTTAGGTGATTTTAGAAGAAATCTTTAAAATCGAAAGTTTTTTCTAATAGAAAACGTTTAGATTCTCTTTTGAATTGTTCTAAGGAGATGCCTCGAAGAATTTTATTTTTAATTATATTTTCTAAAAAACCTTTCCATATAAATGGTCCCCGGTATTGAATTTGAAATGAATTGAGTTTTAAATAAGATCTTGGAATAACAAAATTATCAGATGAAAATTTAGTGGGATATTTATGAGATATTGCATACCCTTGCAGGTATGCATTATAAACATTCATTGTATGGTTATATGCTAAAATAGAATAATTAAATTTTCCACCTTCCAGGTTTTATATGATTTTTGACCGAGAGATAAATTAATAAATTAAATATGTTCCATTATAAGTAAAGAAAACTAACTTAATGTTTCAAAATGATGATTCGTTATTGTTAGGATATATTTTATAAACTATTTGATAGATAAGCTTTTATAGTAGTATAGTTATATATGCATTCGCATTTTTTGACATAAATATTTAATTATTTCTTCTACAGATTGATTAGTAATGACCTTTATTATCTTATTTGTTAAATCTTCAGTGTACTGTAATAACGTTAGTATTAAGTAATTTTAGTACCTAAATTACTGCTAGCACTTGTTGAATTTATTTGAGTATATTTTTTAAACATACTCAAATAAATTCATATCATTTACTTTGTTTATTCTATGGATATGAAACCAAAAAGCTCTCAAAATATAAAATATGAAACCAAAAAGCTTCTAAAAATACGCAATTTTAGGATTTCGTGAAGAATGTCATGAATAATTTATATTTTTGTAGATTTTTAAGCCTAATAGAGTATTTATAGTTTATATCTCTTTATAAAAATTACTAATTCATCCTGTTCCATAGACCAATTAATATTCCATAATATACACATAATATTCCACTTAAATTACCTAGTCTTTTATTCAATAAATGAGATGAAAAAGGAATCTACTGTTAAATTTTTGGGAGTAATTCTAGATGAAAACTTCGTCTCAGAAGTTTCACATCCAATCCATTTAAAGTAAAATCTCTAACAATGTTTCCGTACTTTATTAAAAAAAAAAACATTTTTAAATACTGGAGCTCTAATATATTTTTTATTTACTGACATTTATCTTTCTTACTGCAACATTGCCTGAGGAAGTACGAATTACGGAAAACTAAAAATTTTTTAAAGCAAACAAAAGCTTGCTTATGCGATCGTTACGAACCACTATTAAATCATCTCAAAGCTTTAATTATTTATAAGCTAAACATTTACCAAATATAACTATTCATAATTAAAATGACGCATGGAATATCTCCATTTATGTTTCAATCTTATTTTAGTAAAATAACTCATAAGTATCCAACAAAGTTTTCAGGAAATAACTTTATTGTTCCGAGAATTAATTTAAAAATGAGTTTATATCGAACTCCATATTGAGAACCTTTTTTTATGAAAAAATTTTGTTAAAAAATTCAACAAAAAACACTACTCTCTAGAGAAATTTAAAATGGAACTTAAAAAAAATCATACTTCAATTAAATTATAATAAAGTTTAATTAAAAATAAATAAAAAATAAAAAAGCAATAAAAAAATAATTAAAAAATGTATATTTAAAATGTATATATATAAAAAAACAAAACAAAAACAAAACAAAATGGAGGCATATGTATGAATGTATGCGTGTCTTCAAATATCTATGCTATTTTTGGAAGTGAATCATTCTTTAGCAGTGGTAGGGTTGAAAATTTCCAAATATTTTCCAGAAATTTTCAAAAATATTTTACTGCAAACTTATAGTTATTATATAGTTTTATAAAATTTCTTTGTTTCAAAAATATGCGTTTTATCATAGTAGTATTTTGGTATGCTTTATATATTTTAACAAAAAATAAAAAATAATAAAGATCCACAAGAGAATCGCCCATTTTTTTAAAAAAGCAATAAAATGCTCAAGTTGTATGTTATATGTTAATTTTACTTGCATTACTTTTGTGAAACAACAAAAAATAGATGTTTTCTGAGTAAACCTCTTATGTATAATTTATTTCTAGCTTTTACTTCTCTCAACAACGATGTAAAATATTCACAAAATACAAAGAATAAAATCTTTTTTAGATTTTGTATAGTGTTTTAAAAAACAAAGATTTTTTATAAGTAAAGATTGCATACAAAGGCGATTTTAGGAGGAGGATGTATGCGGAAAAAGGGTGTTTATCCCCCACAATTAAGGTGATTTTTGAGTTAAAGTCGGTTTTTGAAGAATTTAGTCGGCTAGTTGGGTGTTTAACACAATTCAGTAGGGTAAATATCATATAAAATATAAAATGTTTAAAAACATAAGAAGATTTTTATGTATTTTTGTTTGCATTTTAAATCATCTTTAAATAAGGTACATGTTACAAATGCACTAGCTGTGTTAGAAAATAATAATTTATCTACAAATGACATTAGTAAACACATTTGATTTGAATGTTCAGTAAAATATTAATGCGTTAATTTGCTTGGTATGATACTTAAAAAACACACACCAACGCATAAACCACTCACTTGGCAGTATTGGTTGAAAAATACTGTATACATTTAAATCATTTTAAAGCATAGCTTAATTTTTTAATTTATTGATTTATAAAGTTAAAAGTGCTCTTGCAAGGTTGCGGCGAGTGAGACTCAAATCTTAAAGTTTATTAAAACATAACTGTGGAATTTATGACCTCGAAATCATTAGTTTTTTGTTTTAATTGCTAATTATATTTTTAAAAAGTTCAAATTTAGCAAAAATATTTTCTTTACTTTTTGGCTTTTTTTAATCAATAACGTCTTTAAATCGAGAAAAAAATGTAAATATTTAATCACGTCTTTTTATATATAATTTTACAGTTTTTAGTAAGTTTTAGACCAATTTAATAGATATTAAAAATGCCCCATCTCTTTTAGAGATGAAGGTGCAAATTATGTTTAGCTTTAAACAAAGCTTGCTACCGCAATGAACATCAATATGCTTAGCAAATAACAGGATAAAACAGTTTTAGAAAATTATGAAAACAAATTATCATAGTTGCTACTTAAAGTTATATTAAAAAAATTTAACAAAACGCCGAGTGTTTTTCAAAGGGAGTTCTCTAAAGTTTTCATAATCTGCTGCACAATATTTTACCATAAAATTGCCCAACACAATTGCCAAAATGAGAAATAAAATTTTACCCATTAATTATAAAATAGCTTTTTTCTTTTTGAAAATTTGCAATTTTTTCCCCAAAATTTTCGGAAAATTTCAAAAATTTCTGGGAAATTTTTAACTCACTATGGTATGGCTCTTTAGTTTCTTCTGAACTACATTTTGGACAATCTGAAAGTGTATGTCATTACAAGCATATTTAACATAATTTAACATAGCATATTTAAACATATTTAACATAATTTAACACAGCATATTTGATAAGATTTTAGTGATTATATTTGAAAATTATTTGTCAAATAAAATCACTGAAGATTTACTGAAGATTTAGTGATATTTATTAACAAAATTATGGACACTATTGTTTGCATGAGTTAGCGGATCGGAAGATGAAGCAGATTGATTGATGCAAATTAAAAATAATAACAAAAAAAAAAGTTTAACATTTTTTTAAAAAAGTTATAATATTTTTTACAGCGGTTCTCTGTGACAAGCGTTAATAAAGGTCTTCTTTAAGTACCGACGTTGTTAATTTTTTAACAATATCTTTAATCAAAAATTAAATATAATAATAGTAACAAACAAATATATATATAAAAAGCGCAATTTATAGTATTACGTAATTGTATAATGTCATTTTACTTTTTTATTTAAGAAATTTTTTTGTTTAAAATAGCTAAAATATTTTTTTGACGTATTACGCAGGTTGCCACATTTCAATATTAATAACCTTAAAACCATGATTAAAAAAAAAAAAAACACATTTTTTAAAATATATTTTCATTTATATATTGAGTTTAACAACGTTAAATTAAATTTTTAGGATTTCCCAATAGGTTTGCACACTGCAGTTGACAAAGAATGGGATCACCTGACCCATAATTAGGATGAGCAAATTTATCTACAGATGAATAGTACACTTTTGCACCGTGATTACAATGATCAAGGGTACCTGATTTAATACTAATCCATTTAAATAGCTGTGAAGCAATATAAAACACACTTTTTAATTTTTCCCAGATTGATACATTGTAAGTTTGTTTCCCATTTTTGAAATCTTCTTTAAGCTGGCACAAAGTCAACATATTTTTTTGGAATGAAACATCGCACTGATTTCTGGTCCAGTTGTACATCTTTCCCTAAAAAAACAACCTTTTAAATTTATTATTTTGAGGGCTTATATTTTTTTAATATATTTTTTACATTACATACAAGCCAGTGGGCACAAAACATTCTTTGGACGTCCTACGGACTTGTGAAGACGCTGGGAAAGTTCCATAATTAAAAAAAAAATGTTTTAAAAAAATGTTTTATAAAAACTATATATATACATACACATACACTATTTTGGTCCCATATAACACTTAAAAATATAAAATCAACACTTTTGATATTTAAACTTTTGGTTTTGATTTTATATTTTTTATACTTTTGATATTTGAACTTTTGGTTTTTGATTTTGTATTTTTCATACTTTTGATATTTAAACTTTTGGTTTTTGATTATATATTTTTTATAATTTTGATGTTTGAACTTTTTGATTTTATATTTTTTATACTTTTGATATAAAAATATTTGTTTTTTGATTTTATGTTTTTTATACTTTTGATATTTGAACTTTTGGTTTTTGATTTTATATTTTTGAAATTCTAGTTATTTGAAAACTGATAAAAAAATAAAAAATATAAACAGTTTATCACTCATGTAGTGTTTATAGTAGAGCCGTAGTTAGGGCATCCCACACCCCCAATTAGGAGGGAGTGAACCGAATTTAGGGTTGTTTTTTTTGTGAATTTAGGGGCCCTTTTGCAAAAAAAACTTCTGATCCCTTAGTCACTGGTCCATAGCAACGCATGTTTGTTATAAAGCCTTTTAATCAAAACTTGACATGGATTTCACATAGAGTATCAAATATATATAAATATTAAGTATTTTGTAAAAAACTAGGAATGAGAAGGGAAAAAAAAAGAAATGCAAATTGATTCATTTTTAAAATTTTATTTTTTCATTGTTACTCATCATATATTTTATTAAATTTATGAAATAATATTAGAGAGTTTTATAAACTATATTGTTAGAATTCAAATATTGAATTATTTTGAGTGGATTAGTGATTTTAACAAATATTACTGTTTTAACATAAACAATAAACTAAGCAGCAACCTCAACTTTTTTTTTGCATGAAACGAAAAGGTGAAATCACAAATATCCGTGGACAGCTTATATCAGTTTTTTTTATAAACTGAAAATGGAAAAAATATTTTTTGAAGACTTATCTTAAACTTCGGGAACTAATTATAAAACATTAGTTTTTTTATTATATTAAAAATATCATTATTATAAAATTATTATAATAAAATATTAATTCTTTTTTATTAGACTTACGCATTCGTAACAGATATCATGTCTTTCACAAGCTGGTAAAAAGATATCTTTGTATGGGAAAGGTAAGTTCAATGGTATGCTACATCCATTTGTCATTTTAGTTATGCACTTCTGAAAATCCACCGCCTGACTGGCCAAAATTATTGCCATTGTTTGAAAAAAAGAGAAAAATAATCTCATTTTTTGCAATCTTTAATAATTTTTTCAAGGTTTGTATTCGAGTTATCACTTCTGTTTAAAGTTGTTGTTGCTATTGTCGTTTTAGAAAACCTACTAGCATATTAAAGTAGCGTACTCAACGTCTCAAAGTCGCAAAAACTGAGTAACTCGACTATCATTTGAAGTCATTAACAGTACAATAACAGCAATTATTTTTTTATTTACACACCTGAATTCATTCAAAAAAAAAGTAATTGCAACTGCTTACACCTTTTGATTTAACTTTCGTACTGAAACAAAAGTGCGCAGAAATATTTTAACCTAAATTATGTATTTAGCATGTTTTTAAAATAAAAAAATTATGCGAAACACTTTTAGTACATACCCAAAATACTTGATTGTTCAAAATACGATTGTATAGCATAAGGAATCTTCTCGATAAACTTGTGTTTTATCGAGTAAAAAACACAGGTCGATCAAATTGAATTGCATAGTACTCAAAACCAGGAAAAAAAAATTAGTAATAGAGTACAAATACAAACATTCTTACCGAGTATAATTTAGTATATAATATGTTGATTTTTAACAAATCAATGGTGGAAAATGCTCGTTAACCTAAAATAAAACGCAAAAAGTTGATGATGTCAGCAACAATTTTGTAATTAAATAAGTTTCTATATAGAAAAAAACTTTCTTGTATATTTAATCTTTTTTTTAAAAAACAAGAATTTTTTCAAGAAAAATATGTAATTGTAGTGACAACACCAGTTTAAAATCTGATGATAAAATGATGGAGATGAACTAATATCTCCAATTACAGGTCAATTTCAAAACTTTTTTGCTTCTCGAAAATAAAATAACGGCTTATGTACGAAAGATTCATTTTTAGATTAAAAGTAATATTCTTTATAATAAAAAATTTGGGTTTAAATAGATCATTCTCCTAATCATGCAATTCTTCATCTTTCTAAAGTTATTTTAAAGGTTTTGACAAAAAAAAAAAACATTTATACACTTTATATTAGAAAAATAAACGATTATGCTTTGGGTGTTTTAATAGATCTGAATTTTTTATATAAGAAACTAGAAAACTAGAAAATCAAAGGAATAAATATAGCTTGGTTTAAAAGCTACTGTTCTAAATATATATATATATATATAACTTGAATAGAATAAATATAGCTTGGTTTAAAAAAAAAAACTAACAATATGAAGATTAGTTGTAGCGTTCCTCAAAAATTTATTTTTAAAACTCATATTATTTTTAATTTGTTTATGATTTAAGCATATTATTTTTATTTCCATGATGATTTTAAAACCTTGTTTAAAATAGTCAACATTGAACTTCAAAAAGTAACTGAATCTTTGAACATAAATAAAATTTCTAGTAATTTAACTAAAACTATGTAGGAAAAAACGGAGCTTGATGGCAAATGGGGCAAGATGGCTTTTCTTATAACAACTCAACAAAAAAAAAACTTTAAATGGATGAAAGCGAAACTGTATTTATATCTTGTATATTAAAACGCCAATCTGTTTTTTTTTTTTATATTGTTAACGCAATTTTATACGCATAAGCTTAGTTTCGGTTTTGGTAACTCATAATGAATGGTATCCTTCGTGTGGAACTTTTTAAGGAAAAGTTTTTTTGCAACGCGTGTTTTTTTGTGTTTGCTTTAGTTAGAGTAGTTAGTATTTTTTTAAAATTTTATAAAATTGGAGGCAGAAATCTCATTTTAAGTCATCTCGCCTCAATAACGTGACCAGGTGAAAAATTTATGAACTTTTTTTTTTAATTTTTGCTTCAATTTTTTATACTTGCAATCTGCAGGCAATCAATCATTATGATAACATAAGATACTGACAAAGTAATATTGTTTTATTTCTGATAGTTTTGCAATAACTCAGGGCTTTCAAAACGCTTGCCATCTTACCTCGTCTGCTCCTATAATTATTTTTATCGTCTTTGTAAAAGAGAAAAAATCATTAGACACTTCTAAAATTTATTATCTGACGCATGATTGGTAATAAAGTATCTAAATATATTATTTTATAAATCAAAACCTTTTAACCATGAATTTTAGATATAGAAATATATTAATTTGTTTTATAAAGCAAAACCTTTTAGATTAACCATGCCTATCCAGTTAGCACAGGATGTTTTTAAAACGTTTAAAAAACTTATTAAAACGGATTTTTACGTTTTTTAAACGTTTTTAAAATGATCTGTGCTTACTGGGTAATATTGGAAAAAGTGCTTGGTGCAGTACCAATATAGATATGAAAGAAAACTATTTCACCAACAAAAACATTCAAATTAGTTGTTATCAAACATTCACCGTCTTGCACATTTAAAACTTTTGTTTAACAAACTGAATATACTATCTGTTTACCAAATAAACATATACTAATAATTTTTATGTATAAAATTTAAAAAAATACCATAACAAATGTTTTTAAACCATAATTTAATGAAATTTAGCAAATATAATTTACCAAACTCGAAAGTAACAACTATGTTCAAACCAAAACTAATTATGGTTCAACAAAATTCTTATTAACTATTACAGGACTCAACGCATGGAAATTAGATTCTCAATTATTGAGAATTTTAATGACTATTATAGTCATATTAAAACAATAACAACTCTTGATCAGTGGGAAGCG